GGAGCAAACTATGGCCGGTTTCCTTACACCATATATAAACACTGGAGAGGGAGAACGGATCCTCCACAGGGCAATTCAGAGCATCTCCCCTCGACTCCCGCCTGGATCTGGCCTCTGGAGGAGACTGCTTCACCTACTGCATAGGTAGCAAGGTGCTGAGCATGTTTTCTGAGGTGTAAACACTGGGCTCAGCATGCCGGGCTCTCCCTGTGTGCCAGGGAAAAGTGCCCACTCCACTTAACGGAAGGAGAGTTTTGGAGAGGTGCTGCTACAGGGAACAGTACGGCTTGGAGATAAGTTTGTCTGCGCTTTCCCTGTAGTCCTCTAGTGAAAGGACGAGATCTTGTGAATTTCATACATGAAAGGAAAAGTATCACATTTTCCCCAAATTCTTCAGGAAATTACTCTCATATACAACCCCAGAATTTGGCTGCGTTACAGAGATGGAGTGTCATTTGCATGCCATTACCAGGCTGTAAAAGTCTCATGGTGACTGCCTACTATACATTTGCAATCTTTTGGGATCCTGTGGGGGTCACCTCTGAGGTCAGGTTTGTTTAGTCTGTTCCATAACGGTGTAAAGTGGACTTGAATGTATACTCTGCTCAAATAATACACAATCTGATTGATACTTAAACATCAGTAAGTGTTGTATATATGTTGCAGTTTCTAATGTTCTCGGCAGAGGAGAACCATGTATTTGCTAACAAATTGTTCCTGCAAACAACCTGATGTGGCTTTGAAAAGTGAGTCAAAATAGGGAATGAAATGCACCCTCAAAATAATGGTAAGAAAATGTTCATTGTTTCTTTCCTTAAATATTTTTTTTTCCCTTCTGAGCCCTCCCTGTATTTTGAATTATTCCTCCTGTTTACTTTTAATTCACTTACCGTCCATTCGGTGATTGCCTTGCAGTTCAAAAGCCAGGTTCCTTACGTAGCATTGTTCAAAGATGGCTTAATTAAAAATAGATCACATCTTCTGTGTTGTTTCTAATAAGCATTGTGCTGATTGGCCTCATAGAGGACTGGGTGATATTTCAGCCCTTTGCAGATCTTTCAAAAGGAATAATAAAAAGAGAGGGAGAGAAAAAAGAATGTGAAGTCTTTTTCATCCCTAATATACTATGATTTAGAATGCAAGAAATATTACTCAACATAGGCTTGAGAGAATAAAGAGAGAGTAGAGAAAAAGCTGATACATGAGTGACTTTGCTTTATCTCTTTGTTTTTAAAATACTGTAAAATATAATCCGTTGTGAGGACTAGCTTTAGATTATTTTTTCTGGTGCTCCTCTTTCAACAAATCTTTCATGAGGACAATATAAATAAAAGGTGACAAAGTTATACGTATAGCTCAGCACAAAGCTGGTTAAGGCAGAAGCTTCTTATTGCCATTTTTATGGCTTCACCAATTAGTTATTAAGTTTTCTCCTTTTTTAACTGTGTCATGCACACAGGCTCAGATAAGTCTTCCTTCTCTTTCATCCTTTGCTCATCTCTGGATCAATAACGTGTCTTTGATGCAATTACTCATTTGATTCCTTTCTACATTAAAGTATTTAATTGTTTTGCTTTATTTAGTGAAGAAATTGTTACTAGAAAACAGATAAGAGCTTGACTTTTTAAAAGTAAACCATGATTCTGGGTTAAACCTGGCTAGTGCTGAGGTGGAAATATGAGGGAAAAGAGAGGAAAATGCACAGTATTTTTCCTTCCATTCCAGTAGCTCACAAGGACTCCAGCTTCCCTGCTTCACTTCACTGTGGTGCTAGCTTATAACCTCCTGAGAATGAGATTTGTCAGCTCAGAGGCAGGGTCAGTATCCACTAACACCCTGGCACTTTTTTTAAACGACTTGGGGCAGCAGCAGTACACAATCAGTTGTGCTACAGAGTAGTATAGCTGGCTGCTGAGCTTTTGGAGATACAGTTCACAGGTGCTCACAGTGGTGTTTCCTCTGCTATGAACAGAAGCGAGAGCACTGCTTGATAGGAGCCAGCAGAGTACGTTCCTCTGCTATGCAAAAGGGAACCCAATGCTCAGCTGTTGCCTGCTGCTCCTGGCCAGTCCCAGCTGGCCAGGGGCCTTGCTGCAGGGAATAAAAGCCCTCAGGAGCAGCATCTCTCTTATTGTTAGAAGGTTTCAGGTACTGTCTTGTTGTGGAGATTTGTGCCTCTGATACAGCTTGCTCTGCTTTTTGATGGACAAGGCGAAGCCTTACTGAGCTTGATGTTCTGCAGTATGAATGTTCTTAATAGTGAAGCTGCTTAGTTTAAAGCTAGGTCAGATATTTCTGGGCTGTGTGTTATCTTGCATTGTAGACATGCTCTCAGGGAGAGGTTCTATTGGATTAGAAGGTGAGCAGAATTATGGTCTAGGCCTGGCTAAGATAGTGTGATTCCCCCCCCCC